GGAACTGAGTGGAAGACACCACGAGGGAGAGTGAAGGAGATGGTTGGAGGAAAAATTACACTCAGCAGGGTTTTCTGTATGTCCTTGTTGCTAACACCCCAAAGTGTGGGTCTCCCCACAATAGTTTAGGTTCTACAAAGATGCTCTGGGTTGAGCAGCCCCAGCTGGACACTACCCTTTTCTCTCCACCCAGCACAGCAGTTCATCCTTCCGCTGCTCTCACCAACTGGGTTCTCTATACAGAATTCCTATAAACCAGGGGAGTCAAACATATGAACCAGGGGCTGGATATAGCCAGAGCCAGGTCATCCTGCCTGCAGTCTTGATAAGAGGGACTGTCTCATGACTGCAGCCATGCACCCAGGTGAAAACTGTGACACTGAAGTCTCAGCAGAACCACAGGAAAAAAAATGAGCACCACAGCTTGTTCCCACAGCAGTAGCCAAGCTCCCAGGATGCAGGGCCACTTCTCACTGGGTTGCAGGGTGGAGGGACGGGAGGGAAAGGGGTGTGCAGCCTGCACCATTCATTTGGCTTTAAACTGTAAAATGCATATGCTTCTCCCAACCATAGTCACTGCTAGACCTGGAGACTAGGGACACCAGTGCAAGATGTGAAGAGCCACTGTGAATGAAACTGTGCACCACCAAAAATCAATAGAAACTGTGCCACTGTAGGGGGTATAGGACCAGGCCCTGTATTTGTCGCATTAGTCATCTTTAAAAAATGTCAGGTGTCTGACCATGATACATTCACTTAACTGGGTAGGAATTGAGAAAAACTATGATCTACTAGCACAGCTCACCTGGTGCTGCTAATGATGGATTATTTCTCTGGATACCTTTATGTCTTGTCTTGCTTATTTTTCCTGATTTCTTTTCTGCCTTTCTAGAGATGTATGTGTTCCTTTTCTGGATGTTTATATCCTCTCCTTAGTGTGCAACTGGATTTTTCTACTGATAGATGTCAGGATCTGTAGTTTCGTTTCTGGATATCTCAGTATCTTTTTCCAGAGTGCTTTTTCCTCCCCCTCCTTTGGTCTATTTAATTTACAGTTTAGGATGTTCTCTGTAGTTTGGTGCCTCTCAAATGGCAAGGTCCATGACCAACAGCTGCTACCCTCTCCAGCTGCATAGGAGGCTGCATCCCCATGTGCATCTTTGTCACCTTCTCTCTGGACTACAACACTTCAATGTACTTGGATATGAAGCTGTCAGCCCCACTCCAGAAACTCCAACTAGTAAGGAATACTGGTACACATTTCCTCAGCAGCATGGGTTATTGCAGGCACCTCAAACCTATTCCCCACCCTTTATACTGGCTTCCCACAGAACAGTCAGGTACAAGGTCTTGATTCCTATCTTCAGTGAACTCAATACCTCGAGTGCTCCTTACATGGAAAACAGCCTAAGGCTTTGGGAAGAGGACTGTGTTCAACTGTGTCATGAGGGCCTAGTGGAACTTTCTGGCACAAGAACAAAGTGACAATACCAGTTAAACCACCTCCACACTAGTTAGCCCATCGGCAACCCAGGAGGGATATGGCTACACTGTGTCAGGTTCAGGGGGCAGCTTGTACAGAACAGTGAAGCATGTTTACAAACATGGTCATAGTAAATCTACCACACTGACCTGGCTTCAGATGTCAGTCTCACATCTTGGAACAAACTCCCTTAGGAATTAAGGATCCTTCCACATCTACAGCTTCTACACTTTGCTCTGCATCCTTAATATCAGCACTTAGCAATGAGTACATTAAGGGGGGAAAAAAAACACGCTACCAAAACAAAACCATACAGCAAACACACAATTCTCCCTCTATAGAGAGGATGAGAAACAGAAAACAACATGTGACAGATTAGTTGTGTCACAAAATACATTGATGGATGCCAGGTTAAGAACCTGAGTTAGAACTCAAGTAAAAGACCTGAATTTGCCCTGCAGACCTGGTGTTGAGTGGGTCCTAATTTAAACTGGTCTTTTTCTTCCTCTTTGAAATGTCTCATCATTCACTTCCACATTTGGCAGGAACAAAGAGAACATTAGCTTAGCTTGGAGGCTGCCGTTTTAAACTTTCCTGCTCAGAGCAGCTCATTTGTCTACCTGAATGCTGCTACCATTAATGCCACTGGTGGAAGTACATTGTTTAGTGCAGGCAAAGCTCTGACAGGCAGTACTTTTTCTCTGTCAGAGATGATGTCACTGACTGAGCAGTGTCTTACTTAATACCTAATGGGAGAAAAGGAAAACAGCAGTGCTTCTATTGACATTTGGAAGATGTTTTCTGCCATAGCTAGAAACTTAATTTTTAAAAATTGTAGTCTTAAGAAAAATATCTTTAAGAGCCATCAAGCCATACAAGTGTTAGATAACTATACAAATGTATTTCCATTACTCCTCTCCTATCCCATGCCATTCCTTCTCACTATTGTTTAGGGCCCTCCCCTCTATTCCTGTCTTGGATTAGATGGCAAATTCACAAGGAGAATGATTACCCCTTCTTATGTACATGTACAGCACCTGGCACAATAACCCAACATCTGACTGGGGCAACACAATACTACCAATCATCCAAAATCTTAGCCAGGGAAAGCAAGTCATATGAGGAGAGGCTGAAGGAGGTAGCCACATTCAGCTTGCAGAAAAGGCAGTTAAGAGGGGACATGATAGCAGTTTGCAAATATTTGAAGTGGTGCCATAAAAAGTACCTTTTCCCTCTTGTTGCAGAGCATGACGTGGACCAGTGACTTGAAGTTGCAGCAAAGTTGGTTTTAGACTGGATATCAGCAAAAATTTCTTTGCTACTAGAAGAGTGAGGCAGGGGAATAGACTGCCTAGGGAAGTTATGGGCTTCATTACTGGAGGTACTCAGGAAGAGGTTGGATAGCCACTGCTCAGGGATAATATAGACATAGCTCTGCCTATGTTCTACTGTAGGTATTTCTCAGGTTTCTGGGCTTTGCTAGCTGCCCCCTTTCCACTACATGTGTCAGGGTGTTTTTAAGCATCCCTGAGAGGCATTGGGTATTGGCTACAGCCAAGGCTGGGTATTTTGACCATGCCTGGCCTGAGACAAAAAGAAATGCAAAAATCTAGAACACTTGATTCCAAAATGATACCTTTTATTAAACCAACTGAGAAATTGCAAAGAAAAGAATTTGAAGCTTGCAGAAAAAGTTTTTTTAATTAATTTTTTTTTTTTTTTGCAGTTTCTCACTTGGTCTAATAAAAGGTATCATTTTGGAACCAAGCGTTCTAGATTTTTGCATTTGTTAAAGTCGTAAGCGAATTAATGCACCAGCCAGCCAGGAGCAGCAGATCAAGCTAGAGCGAAAGTGAGCTGGGGCCGGGCAGGCGGCGAGAATGACGCTCTGAACGAAACGCGTACGCGCGCCCCACTCGAATCCCGCCACGATCACGTGCCCACGCCAGGCAGTGCGGCGGGCTGGGGGCCTAACGCAAGGCCCCGCCCCTTCGTGGAGGGTGTCCAAAGCATTGCCTGTAGTTTCGGGCGCGCGGAATGGGGGCCACGACGTGAGCCCGTGCTGAGGCAGCTGGCTCTGTGCCTGTCGCAGGGGCGAGGCGGTTTTTGTGAGCATAGGTTTCCTGCTTTCAACGTGGCTTCTACTTCAGGCACTGGCTCGGGCGCTCCCGACGGTGGCCGAGAGGGATACGGGGCGCAGGGATGGCGGCTGTGGGGCGGCTGTGCGCCTCGGTGGCCTGGAGGGCGGCGTGGAGAGGTGATGCCTCCGTGTTTCTGCCGGGCCCCGCGCTGACGGTGGGGTGGAGGGGGGAGGCGCTGGTGAGGGAGCGGAGCTGCCTCTGGTGCGGCGCTCCCCCTCCCTACCTGGCTTTTGCTATCTGGTCTAGCCCCAGGGGCGGTGTGCCGTGGCCCATTGCAGCCAGCTGGACTGGGGGAGCTGCAGCCCTGAGGCCCACATGCCAAAGGGGAGCTTGCAGGGAGCTGGAGATGAAGTGGGATGCTGCACCACACTGGGGTAGGGGTGCCTGCCTCCATGCATGTAGTGCCGTGGGGTGGGACAGTGCCTGCTCGTGCATATAGTACAGTGGGGTGAAGGAGGACAGCCTGGGGGGCCCATGGCTCCCCCCAGTGCAGCCCCCCCCTCATATGCAGACCAGGCTGCTGTAGCCAATGGGGCATACAGTCCTGGCTGTTTAGAAGTTGAACTGGCCTGCTGCGGGTAATGCAGGTCTAAATCCAAATATTTCTCTTGCATTACATTGTCCCTTCCAATCCTAATTTTCTGTGATTCTCTATGATTTCACCAGCTTTATTTTTCATGCTGAGAGATGCTCATAATTTGAAACTCAAATTTATGTGGAAAAAAGTTCCTGATTTTTACAAAGAATTCCCTAGGTTGTTTCTACTTGCAGGATCAAGGCGTATGTTGGCCAGTTGTTGAAGGAAACTGGATAATAAGTTCTGAATAATAATAATAACCCCCTCCCCCCCCCGCTTTTGAGCAGGCACAGTAAATAAGTTCAGTTCAAAGAAGTCTTACCACTTTGGCATGTTTCAAGTGAAAGGAAAATGACTTTCTTTTGGGACAGAGGAATTACAGCTATGCCAATGAAATGCAACCACAAAAATTCTACTCCAAACCTGAGGCAGACAAAGTTCTGATGCTTTTTTATTAGTGGAGTTTGGTAAACTGAAGATGCAGTTATAGCCAATACAAACTTATAGTTCAGAATACACTGTGCTTGTATTGCATCCCTATTTGTGTAAAGTTCAGCCATTCTAGTTAAAGTTCTTTTGAAAGTAATGTTAATTGAGGTTTATTGAGTCTGACATTACTTTGAAATGAACTTAAGCTACAATGGTTGAACTTTTAAGTAGTATACTATGACAAATGCAAAACATGTCTGTTCCTTTAAGCTGAAAGGGCATATCACAGATATTTGAGTTTTAGTCCTGGGGTTAGTAGGTATCAAGTATGCTGTTCCAACCTTCCTTACAAGCCCATTCACCCTTGTTCTAGCTGTTTCCTAAAATGCTCCTGCTGTTGCATGCTGCTCATCTGGGAGCCGCTGGTCTGGCACTTGGCTGCTTGTCCAGTGGCTCCTGCCACTGCTCCCACCACTCGTCCAGGAAGGCATGTATCCCTGGATCTGCACAGGGTGGGCTGGGACCAGGGCTGCATGGGGCTTTTCCTGGGCCAGCCCAGCCTGCCCCGCCCCACTTCGCACAGATGTGGCGGCACATGCCCCCCAGCAACCCCTCCATGCCCTCCTGGATGAGTGGCGTGTAGTAGTGGGAGCTGCCCACCTTCCCTACACACCCAAGCCAGCCACAGCTGCGTCCCATGCCCGCTGCACCCTGGCTGGGCAGCGCTTGCCCCAGCCCCAGTCCCACTCTTAATGCACCGTGGGGGCCTTGATCTGTGCCCCACCCCTTCCCTTCCCTCTCCCCTTCCACCACACCAGACTTACCAGCTGCATGCAGCTCTCCAAGCTTCTGGGCTGGTATCAGAAATCGGATCAGTATCGGCCAATGTGCCTCCTTAAAAATAGGCTATCGGTATCAGCCCTAAAAATCTCTATCGGTGCACCCCTAGTAGTTTGATTTATTAGAAAAATCTATGAAAGAAACCAAGTTCTTTTTCTTTTCCTGGTCTCCCAGGATTTATATGGGTAGAGGACTCTGGCTAGTCTGCAATGATTAGATTGGTCACTAAGGGAGTAGACAATATTATTTGTTTTCAGAGGAAAAGACTGATTCATTGTGAGGAAATTTTTTTTGTCCCTAGAAAGTTTAAAAGTAGGAACAATAGGAATGAGAATAATAATTCAAGGGAATGATTTCTTTTCCCCCTGTAATTTTAGTTCTTATCTCAATCACTCAAAAATGTTGCTAGGGAATTTGGCAAAGTCTGGTATGGAGAATAATTCTCCAAACTCCTGCGCAGAATTGTCCAGAAATGCTTCTGTTCATAATGTGTACATCAGACAATGATTTGGCTTCAGCACTAGGCACTTTCTTTACAGAGAAGAGACTTATTTTTCTCTTGGGTGGATTGTCATTAGTCAGTGCATATTTCTGGGAGTTATGTATATTAAGTTAAAGCTGTGCCTGTTAATTTTCATGAAGTCTTGGTAAAAATCAAAGAAAGGAACTTTTAAGCCTTGTGTCCTTTTTGTGAGAGACGATGTACTTCTTGCTTAATAGTTAATACTGCCAGAGACAGGTACAAGGAAGAACTGAGTCCCAACTGAATCTTAAAAGCCAACTGATATGGGAGTGGGACAAGAAACAGTTGTTAAGAAACTTTACCACATTATGTAAAATTCATTCTTTTCCTTTGAAAGTCAAGGTCCTGAGAGAGGCTGTAGGTCAGTGTTGTCAGGTATGCTGCTGTTTTGGGCCCTGGACACTAGAGAGCCAGTGGAACACTTTCTTCTGTCTTCCCAAGAGTCTGTCTCCCTCTTAATAGTGGAAGTGAAGGCTTCAGCTTGCCTGAAGCTGTAGTCCTTTGGAAGTTTTTTGTTTTTTTTTTCTTTTCTCCCTTCCAAATAATGTAAAGCAGGGCCATTTGTAAATCTCTTTGCTTTTCTTCCTTACAGCAGTGTAAAATTATGTAATGCATAACTTGTAACTATCCTGAAAACAAAGTTTTGTCCCAGAAAGAGCGTGGCAGTCAAGAAAATTGTGTTTTACGTGAGGGTAGCCGATCTTAAGAACTGACTTGTTTGTAAGTGATCTAGGAAGACTAAAAGGTTCTAGTTGCTTCCTAAATACTTTGGTTAACTTTTGCATTATTAGAATAGAGTTCCAAGGCCTTCTGACCTGTTCTTTTTCCTTTATCCCTTGGGTCCACTAAACAGTGGCCCATGGACTATTGCCTAGTAAAGCTGTGGTAAGCATCCAGGGATCCCACTGTGCCCTTTGCCTTCCTCTTCTTTCATTAAAAGCTCTATAGCAAGGGTGTCAGACATATGGCCCATGGGCCAAGTCTAGCCCATGGAGCTTTGCCATCCAGCCCCTGGTACTGCCCTGGGTTTGACCAGATGCACACAGGACATGACATGCACCAGTCCAGCCCTGCAGGCAAGGATGGGGTGGCACATGTGGCACAGATCCTGGAGCAGCAGGAACAGGTACTATGTATGGTCTAGTCCTGCTCAGGGCGTGTAGCACAGATCCCAGGCTGCCTGGGGCAGGCATCACATAGCATGTGGTGCTTTCCCTGGTTGGACTACACCACATGCAGCACCTGCTCCAAGCTGCATGCTGCACACAGTGCTCATCCTAGCAGCTCTGAGACCCATACTTCAGTGAACTGGCTGGAGCAGGTGCCGTATGCAGCACAGTCCCAGAGCTGCTGGGGCAGGCGTCATGTGCAGAGCTCATCCTGGAGTGGGTACTATGTATTGCATGGTACCTGCTCCAGGTGGTCCAGGTTCTGTGCTGAATGCCTCTGGCTGGACTCTGCTGCATGCAGCCTCTATTCAAGTCACTCCAGAATCTACCCCACGTGCAGCGCAGGTCTCAGATCAGCTGGAGCAGGCACTGGATCTGATATGCTGGGGGAAGGGGTCCGTGGGCTGATCCAGCCGTGGACTGGTCTCACATCGCACATATGGCCCACAGGGACCAGATGAGTTTGACACCCCTACTTTATAGTAAGTGTATATAGTGATTGACAAAAAATATTGAAGGTAGGAACCACCACTTGATCACACTGGGCACTCTTATACATGCTCCAGGGGAGGGCAGTGCTTTAATTAGCATGGTTCTGAGAGTTGCTCTAAATTGCTGCTGTGTCTCTTGTATCAGTATCCCTGCACTTTAAAATGGCAGTGGGGTGCTTGAACTAAATCTTGTTCAATGGTGGCAAGGGTTTAAGCGCCCTGCCACCATTTTTAAGTGCAGAGATGCTGATACATGAGATGCAGGAGGCTGTTGGAGCACAGCAGTTGCCACACTCCAGCAGACTCAGTTAATCCCAGACTAAGTCCCAGATTAATCAAGTGTGCTCCAGTGTGCTGGAATTCCACTGCATCGGAGCAGTCTCGGTGCTTCTGTATAGGCGCCCCTTAATTTTAAACTTGTATTTTTGACGTGAAAACAAAGTGTTAGTTCCAAGTTTTATTGGGATAGTTTACATTCTTAAGAAAAAAATGTGTTTTTACCAGGGTTGTCAAATCTTCACATATATATTTGAGTTCTTGTTATTTTCTTGAGAGCCCATGAGCTGATTTGAAAAAAAAAATACAACCCTACAGTTTCTCCTAAAATAACAGTTGTGGTTAATTGCAGCATGCATTGCTTTGCGACTTTGGTGTTTAAATATATTCTTCCTGCTCAGAACACAGGTTAACATTTTGCTTATTGGTTTTTGCATGGATGAAAGATGGCATGGAATACATGAGGTGAACAAGTTTATTACCTAGCAGAAGTTAGGTTAATTAGATGTGATATTTTCAGAACCGTATTCTTGGCATTTTCACATGCATTAACTTTTCAAGGATGTTGTGATTATTTCATGCTAGAGCTTTCCATTCAGAACCCTGGAATTACATTCAGCCTATTTTAACTAAGTTCTAATTTTAACTAAGTAATAGTCATCTAGATGGCTCTTTGATAAGGTTTCTTTTCAATTTGGATCTTACTGCTTAAACCAGCTTCGTGCAGGGGTTTCATTCTTTTTTGTATTTAACTTAGGTAGAAAACAATTATAGGTGAGGGGGGAAGTTATTTAAACTGCTGCTGATTGTA